TGCTTATTACATACACTCAGGGATGTGCAGCATCGAATCTGTATCCTCTACAGCAGGGGTGCCCAAACTTCTTTTTTTATGACAGACCAAAGACAAATTGAGCCTAATTGAGGGCTGTGGGCCGAAGTTAAATATAGCAAACTATATTAGATTAAAGTCGCCATGGGTAATTTTCAGATTTTTTTATTAATATTTCAGAATAAATAGAAAACATTACTTTAATTGTGTAATGCATTTTTACATTTTATGATGAACATATTAAAGTGAAAACAAACCATTCCATTTTGAACACAATTGAGTTTGATGCTGAACACACTAGTCAAGCAGCACATCCATTTGCATTGTCTTGTGCATTGTCCTTTATCCACTGAATGACAGTATGTACATTTTAAAAAATCAGAACTTTTAATTGAAACATTTAATTTAAGTTAGCTAATTTTGTAACTCAACAATAACACAAAGAAATAAAATATAATGCTAAAATAGAAATGACAAACTCTATTAAAGGCATTCCCCAACCCATGCCCATCATTTTCTCTATGGGGCTGTAGTTTAAGCATTTCTGATCTATAGTGAAGTGATCAGTTTACAGCTTACCAAGTCCACGATGTAAATAGAGAATGCACCTTCAAACAACCACACTTAAAGAGAATAGGAGATTTTGATTGTACACTATGGACATTTTGCACAAAAAACACTCTGGGCCCTATCAAGGCACGACACAATAGTTGTTTGCTAGTTTCAGCTTGGCGCAAGAGTCGTTTTGAGGTGTCGCACCACGCTGTTTAAATAGCAAATGCAATCGCGCCCATATGTGCGCCCATAGGTGTTCTGATCTAAAAGAGAAGGCATTCTGAGGCGCACTGCTGGCGCGTTGCTATTTTGAGAAACTATTATAGATTTTTCAATAGACCAAAACAAAGGCGCAGAGTTGCGCCTTGCTTACACACTGCTTAATACATACGATATAGAGCAATACGCAAATATCTTTAAATATGAAAAAAAATTTAAATATTAGGGATATATAGGATATAATAAGGATATATATATATATATATATATATATATATATATATATATATATATATATATATATATATATATATATATATATATATATAGGATATAAATATAAAGGATTAAAATATTACAAAACATATTATTTTCTACCCTACATAAATATGAAAAACCACTGCCTTCATGCTGCCTTCATTTTGGGAGGCTTTTTCAGTTCATTCAATTTGCTTTTGTATAATGTTATCATTATTAGCAGTATTATTTATTATATCCATATTTATATTTGTTTTATTAAAAACAAGCTTGGATTTGCCCACCTCCAGGTTTTAGACCATATGGGGCGCTGTGTATTTGTATATAACTCAGTTTTTTGACCACACTTCGTTATTATTGTATATTTATTAGTTTGCTGGAAATTAGAACTGAATTTAGAAATAGTTTTGAAAGAAATATTTGCGCTTAACAAACGAAATTAATTATTTATAGGCTAATTGATGTCTGTGCATACAAGGTTTCCCTATCCACAAAAGCAAAAGTGAAAGTTAATAATTTATCTCTCATTCTCGCACAGTAGATGCTCTGTTTAACTGTTTTCTTGCTAGTGAAATGCTCAGTTTTTCCACTTACACTTACTTTACATCATGTAAATAGCATTTGTCCCATGGCGCGACGCAACTGGCTCTTAAAGGGAATGGGAAATGAGACTCTGATTGGTTTATTCTCAAAACACACCTATAACTCATTAAGAAAATAAACTCAACCCTTTAAGACCATGCGCCACGGCGAAAAGCTGATTTTTCCGTCCTTATATTGGCAAAAATGGATTCTGACACGCCCTGAAAGCATTTGCGCCCTGTCCTCTTTTTCGCATGGATCGTCAAAATAGAGCCCTCTTACCCATTAAGAGAATGAGGACAACCCTTTTTCGACCATGCATGGCAATGATTTTTCCCAACCTTAAAATAGCAAAAGTGGATTTGACACACTCTAGCTGTGCTATACGCTTTACACTGTGCGCTTAGATATTTAAAATAGATCCCTTACATTTGCATACAGTCATTGAACAGACATCTTTGTCCGAAGAAATTTAAAGTTGAGGATTTTGAAATCACGGTTCGGTTCGATACGACAGTGGTGTCACGTTTCGGTACATTTTCGATATGGCAAAAAGAGAAAAAAGCCAGAGGATTTCTCTGATATAAATTTTTTCTTGTATTAAAACTAACATCATAAAAGTATGATCTTCTTTTTTTTTTTTTTTTTCTTTTACTTTAAACTGTGATAGAGCTACAGTATACTTCTGGGGTTTCTGCTTTGTAGCAAATAAAACAAATCCTTTTTTATACTCAAAACCAAAAAGCTTCCTATTAAAAATAAATTTAATATTGTAGTAGTTAAACAAATAAAAATAAAAGAACTATTTAGTTCTCATATGGAATTTCAATCTATTTTTAAGTTGTTGTTTTTCAGAAAGATGAGTGTCCACCTTTTCTTCAGACAGCACAGATCTGCTTGATTTGATGGTCACCTGCCATTTCAGTGGATCTGAAAGCAGGAAATGGGCTTATGAAGGAATAATGTAACGGGGCTCTATTACATTTAACATTTTCTTAAAACCAAAAATTTCCACTACCCATTAAGATCTAACAGGGCTCGAATTTTTTATTTTTTAATTCTTTTTTTTATTGATAGCACCGGTGCTCATAACTTCAAAAATGTAGGCGCAACAGACAAAATTTAGTCGCACCCACCAATAATGATGAGCACCGTTACTACATGTTTTATATTGGTTGATTCTATTTTATATTAACACTCCAATCATAATTAACAAATAAACAAAAATCTGCGTGCGCTCTCGACCCTGCACGCAATGCTTGATGTGAATGAGATGAACTGAATTAACAATAATCACTGTGCTGTTCTCACAGGTGCTGTCTGATATTGCACAGATGATATTGACATAATTTATTATTTGCATACGTCATCATAATAGTAATGATCGTTTCGTGTGCTGCAATATCAGTTTCATATCAGTGAATGCACGCTCTTAAGCGATGGTGAACGCGGTATCAGTCGCACGACTGACAGTATCATGTTGAATAAATAAAGGATTAAATACCGTTAAAACATCTCGTGCTTAAAATGTGTAGATGAGACAAACACTGTTAACTGAAAACTCTGTCCCACCAGCTTTCTGCTTTACTTTAGTCATAGCAGACTTTAACCACTGGAAGTCTTTTATCCACTCTTCGAAAAGTGTAAATGCTGAATTGACATTCAGCACATGATCACTAATCAGATGTGTCATTAGTTGTAACTCTAGCTGGTTTCTAAAACTAAATCTGCCAGTGTTGTTTTCATTCTCGTGGATCCAGCCCTTTACATTTTCGCGGCTGTAGCTCACTGTCATCGGAACTGAGTAATTGAAAGCTGATATGAACCAATGGATTTGCGTTCTGCTCTAGTACAGTGGGCCAATAAGAAGAGCTTTACTGATTTACTGGGATTTTCACACATAACCATCTCTAGGGTTACAGAGAGTTAATATCCAGTCAGCAGCAGTTCTTTGGGCCCAAATGCCGTGTTGATGCCAGAGGTCAGAGGAGAATGGCCAGACTGGTTTGAGCTGATAGAAAGGCAACAGTAACTCAAATAACCACTTGTTACAACCGAGGTATGCAGAAGAATATCTCTGAACACACAACACGTCCAATGGGCTACAGCAGCAGAAGACCACACTGGGTGCCACTCCTGTCAGCTAAGAACTGGAAACTGGGGCTGCAATTCGCACAGGCTTAACAAAATTGAACAAAATTGGACAATGTTGGAAAAACATGACCTGGTCTGGTCAGTCTCAATTTCTGCTGTGACATTTGGATGGTAGGTTCAGAATTGGGTGTCAACAATATGCAGGGATGGATCCATACTGCCGTGTATCAACAGTTTAGGCTGGTGATGGATGTGTAATGATATGAAGGATATTTTCTTGCCACACTTTGGACCCATTAGTACCAATTGAGCATCATGTCAATGCCACAGCCTACCTAAGAATTGTTGCTGACCATGATCATCCACAGTGTACTGATGGCTACTTCCAGCAAGATATCGTGCCATGTCATAAAGCTCAAATCATTTCAGGCTGTTTTTTTTTAAATTTGGCAATGAGTTCACTGTACTCAAATGGCTTCCACAGTCACCAGATCCAGCATCTTTGGGATGTAGTATAGCGGGAAATGCATATCATGGATGTGCAGCCACCAAATCTGTAGCTTGGTAGCTATCATGTTAATATGGACCAAAATCTCAGAGGAATATTTTCAGTACCTTGTTGAAAAAGGTGTACCTAATATAGTGGCATAGTGTGTGTACTGTATGTGTGTATGTATGTATGTATGTGTGTGTGTGTGTGTGTGTATATATATATATATATATATATATATATATATATATATATATATATATATATATATATATATATATATATTTATTTATATATATTCCAACTTTCATGTATGAAATTACAATGAAAAGAAGTAAAATGTAGAAAATTTCACAGGAGTGAAATTCAGGAGTGAATTTAATTGTGTGGTTTTAGGTTACTGTATTTAACTTTTTTTTGTATTTTACTATAATGTTCTCAATAAATGTCAATAATGTTATTAACCAACTGTATACAGTGACTGTAGCTAATGGGCTAATTGCCTGTTTTAATTGTTTCTCTCCTTCCTCAGCACTAAAAGAGCTTACTATGAAAGTGTTAAACAGCATGTCCAGTTTTATTGCTCCACCTGCCATCATTCAGCGCATCCTACAGGTAAGATGCATTTAGAGTTATAAATATGCCAAATTCCTTTAAATATGCCTTTCAATGGCAGCCATTGTTTGCACATTTAGAGGTCCACCAGTGTGTTTTGGTGTATGCAGTACATACAAGATGTTATTGTTGTGTGGGTTATTTGGGTTTTCTTTGGAACAACTTAAAGCCTTCTGACTTGACAATAGGGTAGCAGGCTCAAGCTCAAAATCCCATGGTTCTAATTTGTGCAAAAACTGATACACTCACATAGAGTATTGCTCGCAAACAGATACAGACTGTTCCAGAAATGTCAACAGATTTTCCATCATAAATCTTTTAACATTTCAGGGTTATGGTTTTTAAAATGTAGTGTAGTTACAGTAGGTGTAGATTTGTGTATATATACAGTTGAAGTCAAAATTATTAGCCCCCTTTGAAATTTTTTTTTCTTTCTTTTTAAATATTTTGTAAATGATGTTTAACAGAGCAAGGACATTTTCACAGTATGTCTGATAATATTTTTTCTTTTGGAAAAAGTCTTATTTGTTTTATTTCGGCTAGAATATAAGCAGTTTGAATTTTTTTAAACACCATTTTACGGACAAAATTATTAGCCCCTTTAACCTTAAAATAACTTGCCTAAATACCGTAACCTGCCTAGTTGACCTAATTAACCTAGTTAGGCCTTTAAATGTCACTTTAAGCTGTATAGAACAGCTTCTTGAAAAATATCTAGTAAAATATTATTTTCTGTCATCATGGCAAAGATAAAATAAATCAGTTATTAGAAATGAGTTATTAAAACTATTATGTTTAGAAGTGTGTTGAAAAAAAATCTTCTCTCCGTTAAACAGAAATTGGGAAAAAATAAACAAGCGGTCTATTCAGGGGGGCTAATAATTCTGTATTTTTTATGTATGTATGTATGTATGTATGTATGTATGTATGTATGTATGTATGTATGTATGTATGTATGTATGTATGTATGTATGTATGTATTTATATATATAAATATGTTTTTTTTTTGGATAGTCTACAGAACAAACCATTGTTATACAATAAATTTCCTAATTAACCTTGTTAAGCATTTAAATGTCACTGTAAGCTGTATAGAAGTGTCTTAAAAAATCTATTAAAATATTATTTACTATCATAGTCAAGTTAAAATTAATCAGAGAATAGAAATGAATTATTAAAAGTAATATTTTTAGAAATGTTTTGAAAAAATCTGCTCTCCGATAAAAAGAAATTAAAACCTGTTTTTATTAATCTCTTTGAATTGATGATGATTTATCGATGATCTGAATATAAATGTTAAGTGATGATAAATGTTAATTATGTGCCCTATATCTGGTCATTTTAACAGTATTCTGAGTTTTATATATATATCTGTTTTAGCATATATTGATGATAATGTTCAACCACGTGTAACCGCAAACATGATGAATGCATCTCAATACACAGGAGGCATTTACAGATAAGGCCTTTAAAAAGAATTGCTATTTTTTTGGTATGTACTTTCACAAAATGTTCTATTGGCCTTCATATTTAGACTAATGGGCACACTGTAAAAGCAGAGCAGCAAATTTGCTTTCTAATGGCTTTTTCAGCTTAGAGCCATGTGTAGCTGTTTTAAACACAGACAAACACACACACACACACACACACACATGCATTTGTTTTTTTCTGGGATTGATGCTGCAGCTCACAATTCGGTTGAAGCTTTGGTCAGTGGAGAGCCTTTATCGGTTTTGATCTGCGCATGTTCAGAGCTGTCATCTTTCAATTTCCCTCCTCCTTATCAGTGCTATTACACCAGCACTCCTCTTCTTCTTCAAATTGCTTTCATTACAAATTCTGTAATTTCTTTTGAATCAGTGCTTATGAAATTTTTTTTTAAAAAATTGTCTTTCTTTCTTTCTTTCTTTCTTTCTTTCTTTCTTTCTTTCTTTCTTTCTTTCTTTCTTTCTTTCTTTCTTTCTTTCTTTCTTTCTTTCTTTCTTTTCTTTCTATATATATATTATTAGCCCCTGATTTTTTTTCCCAGTTTCAGTTTAACGTAGAGAAGATTTTTTCAACACATTTATAAAAATAATAGTTTTAATAAATCATCTCTAATAACTGATTTATTTTATCTTTTTCATGATGACAGTAAATAATATTTGACTAGATATTTTTCAAGACACTTCTATACAGCTTAAAGTGACATTTAAAGGCTTAACTAGATTAATTAGGTTATCTAGGCAAGTTAGGGTAATTAGGCAAGTTATTGTATAATGATGATTTGTTCTATCGACTTTCGGAAAAAAATATAGCTTGAAAACATTTAACTCTCTTTGATTTTTATATTATTTATATATATATATATATATATATATATATAACTAATTAATCGCACTTTTAAAAAAAATTATCGTGATTAATCGCGTTTAAAAGACTGAAACTTGTAATTTTAGCTATTCGAGTGTAAAATTAATGTAAACGCAAGAAAAATACTATTTAAATTCAAAATATAATTCATTATTAGAATTTTTGTTTACTTGTAACACAGATTTCTTCATGTAAACAACATACCCACAATAAACCATCAAGATCCTGGCATGACAGCCATATTTATTACAGAAATAAAAACACAGGCATGTTAATTCCATTTGAATTTCAAAACAATCAATGCCAATAAAGAAAACATTGATTTCCATATTGGATTCTAAGTGAACTGCAAAAAATGCCAAAATACAGGCATTACAGATATGGAAAATTATAATAATAAAGTATTGAAAATCTGTGCATGCCCTTGAATAGGTTTACTATATATAGGAAATAACGAGAGTTGACAAATTAAAAAACTACATTTTTTATTTATTTATTATTAAAATAAAATTATAATCCACACTGGAAATGTGGGTGCCTTTGAGGGAGCCTAGAAAATAATGAGCATAAAAAAAACTGCCTGCTGACGCACACAGTTAATGTTGATTAATAAAATAAAGATAAATAATAAAAGCAATGTGTCAGAGACCCTAAAAATGTTTAACTCAACAATGAAACATCAAACCTAGCTAACAGCTTTTACATTGTCAATCAAATGAACTTAAACAATTAAAAAATGCAACAAATATTTGTTTGGGCAGAACTACAAAACTGTATAAAAAAAAAGTTGCAAAAGTTGCACACTAGTTTGGTCATGTATAAATATCATTATATTAACCATATTGTATAAATATTATTGTCACTATAAGCCTACGTCATGCTTACGATCTAAAACACTATGTCATGATATCTCATGCGCTTGTCTTCTGACCGAGTGCATCTTAAAATACATGACATACACTCCTCAGAGCTTGAGAAGCGGACATTCTTTATCATTTGTAAAATAAAGACTTGCAGGTTAAGGAAACAGCATTATAGGAGGAAGTTGCCGCAGCCGTGGTGCAGAATAAAAGTAAAAAAAAAAGTATATGTTTATGGACAGATAGGTAACTAGATAGAATAGACAAGAATATATTGTTCCCCTTCGGTTGGGGAACTCCAGTGCTATAAGTGGATTTGATGTTCTAAATCCACGTATGGGAGATTCGGTTCAGAAGCTACTTGTCTGAAAGAGTATTGAACGGGCCAATGAAAGCAATGAATTGGCAGCGTAAGCTTGCGCAGGTGTGCTGCATTGCCAATTAACTGAACATATAAGCACACCTGGCGCCAGCAAACGCCATCCTTTTCACTTCAGAGAAAGGTTCCTCTGAGGGTTCCTCTTGCTGACTACAGCCACATCGAGCGAACGAGTGTCTCCCGGTCCAGAGCGAGTCCACGCAGCGGCAGACGGTCGAGCTGGGTTTTCTCCCTTGCCTGGCGTCCCTTTGGGTCCGGTCCGCCAGAGCGGTGCATATTGTTGCAAGTTTTCCTAAAAGAGCAAAACAGTCGTGCAACACGTCCTTTTCAGGATGGCGCTCCAACTGCGTTTCTGGTTGCGGGGGTTTCCTGGCTCCGGATGATGGGCACGATCACTGCTTTACATGTTTGGGGGTCCAGCATGTTAATGTGATGTTCGGGGGCGGTTCATGTCGTCACTGCGATGCCATGACCGTCGCACAGTTGAGATCCCGTCCAAAGCCTGTAGGTTATCTGCCTCCCTTGGAGCTAGAGCTTACAAGGATGCGGGCCTGGCAGCTTCTGCCTTGCACGCGATGGCCACCTACCATCGCTACCAAGCGCAGGCACTGGCCGAGCTGCACGAGGGTGGGTCTAACCCAGGCTTGTTACACGAGCTGCGTACCGCGAACGACTATGCTCTCCAGACTACTAAGTCTGCCGCGTGTGCGCTGGGGAAGACGATGTCCACACTTGTGGTCCAGGAACGCCACCTCTGGCTAAACCTGGCAGATATGCGCGATATTGACAAAGTTCGCTTTCTTGACTCGCCCATATAGCAGGCTGGCCTGTTTGGCGACACCATCGGTGAATTCACCCAGGAGTTCAAGGCGGTGAAGGAGCAGTCGGATGTGATGGGCAATGTCATCTATCGGCGGGACCGTAAGCCCGCTCCGTCCCCTGCCGAGCCATCCACCTCCGCTGCTCCTCGCCGAGGGCGCCCGCCAACGGCCGCTGCCCCGCCTCCGCCGAAGCGGGCGTGTCGAGCATGCCGGAAGCCGGCAGCCCCTCCTGCCCAGGGCGCCGCTAAGTCCGGTAAACGGACCGCGAAGCGTCCCTGAGACAGGCCATCCGGAAAGGAGGAAATTTGCTCTTTCCCCGCTGGAGGGCGGGGCCCATATCCCAACGGTACTTTTCAGTGCCACCAAAGATTCGAACAAAGAGCATTTTTCCCCTTCCGTGGATGTCGCAGCTCAAGCCCTGCCAGTCTGGGACGCGATGCCTCTCAGCTCGCAGGGTCTGCATGCTCCAGAGTGGCTCACGGGCGCTGGGGGGACGGTCTCCCTTCTCCCAGCCCCCAAGCCCCCCCCTCCGGAGTCAGGGTGCGGAGCCAGAGCGAATCGCTCTCCTCCAGCTCTTCTGTGGGACCC